TCTGTCCTAGCAGGAACAGTGGCCTTTCCTGACTGACCCATGCCAGTTTTTACTGTTGGATGTTACAGCCAGTCAAGTCTGGTCCACACCCAGACACAGCTCACACATGACTGCAGGGGCAGAGACCTAGCCCAGCCCTTCCTATACCCACCCTGGTTCTCATGAGCACCGGTGCTAGAATCCAACCCAGTCTGGCACACCACCACCCCAGTCCACACTTGAGCCAAGGGACACTGCAGCCATGTCCAGACTAGACAGCAGCCCCGCCTCTGGCCTTTGCACTTACCAGTGGGAACCACAACCCAGGCAGGGCACACCCTTAGCTCCCCAATGAGGCCTGTTCCCAGGCATAGATCTTGCACATGCCAGTGGTTGCTCTGACCCAGCTTGGGATAACCCCTCACCTGTTTTAACCTTTGCCTTAGATGATGTAGCCTGACCTGACCCGACCTGCCCTCAGTCCCAACTCTCATTGGTGGATACTGGAACCTGGCCCTGCTCAGTCTACTCCCATCCCTGGCAGGAATGACCGGTAGGTGTGACAGCCTAGCCCAGCATGACTTGCATTCCATTCTGGTTTCTGCACTTGTCAATGAGCTAAGCTTTGCTTGGTCCTAACTGGTCCTCCCCCTTCCAAAACCAAGCCTCACGTTTGCCAACTGTTGTGGCTACCTTGCCCAGCCTGCCCAACCCCCAGGCCAGGAACATATGCTCACCAGTGGTAGCTATGACCCACTAGGGGAGTTTCTGCATGCCATCCTTTCACTCTCGGCCCCACTACACAAGATGGCGCCCCATCTGGCACTACTGAGAGTCTGTGATGTAAGATCCAGCCAGTTCCTGAACTTGCCCTTGTAGTTCTTTCTATGCTCATTGTTGGGTCAAATAAATCAGCAGGATGGGCAGTTCTTTGCTGTATTCACTTCCTGAGCTCCTGAACTCTGGCTGCCACTTGACTGCTACAGTTGTTCTGACTAGTACTGGGTCTCTGGCTGCCACTGGAGTCCGGATCGCTAGAGTCCAGACCGCTGTTTGCCAGCTACTGGTGAATTATCCAATCACTGCAACATACTGCTCCACCAACACGGCTGCTTCCCTGTGTCCAGGGGTCTCTGGGTACCCCCCAGGCAACTTCCCAACCTCCATTTTTTCCAGGAATCTGATCCCTGTGCTTCACCCTAATGATTCTCCATCATCCCAAACCTGTCTGCAAGAGAGTTTTAAAAAAGATTTATTTGTGGGGCCTAGCAGTGTAGTCTAGTGGCTAAAGTCCTCACCTTGCATGCACCAAGATCCCATAGGGCACTGGTTCTAATCCTGGCAACCCCACTTCCATCCAGCTCCCTGCTTTTGGCCTGGGAAAGCACTGAAGGATGGCCCAAAGTCTTAGGACCTTGAACCCATGTGGGAGACTCAGAAGAAGCTCCTGGCTTCGGATCGGCTCAGCTCCAGCTGTTGCAGCTACTTAGAGAGTGAACCACGGATGGAAAAATCCTTCTGTCTCTCCTTTCTGTAAATCTGACTTTCCAAGAAAAAAAAAATCTTTTTAAAAAATGTATTTGAAAAAATATATATAAAAAACTTATTTGTATTGCAAAGGCAGGATTACATAGAGAAGGTGACAGAGAAAGTCCTTGGCCTGCTGGTTCACTCCCCAACTGGCTACAGTGGCCAGAGCTGAGCCAATCTGAAGCCAAGAACAAGGAGCTTCTTCTGGTGTCCAAAGGCTTTGGACCATCCCCTACTGGCTTCCCAAGTGCCAAGCAGGGAGATGGGAGGAAAGTGGAGCAACTGGTGCCCATATGGGATCCCACCACATGCAAGGCTTAGAGGTAGTCACTGAGATGGCCATAATGGCCGGAGCAGAGCTAAGCCAACCCACAGCCAGGAGAGAGCTTCCTCTGGGTCTCCCACGTGGGTGCAGGGTCCCAAGGCTCTAGGTCATGCTTGACTGCTTTCCCAGGCCACAAGCAGGGAGCTGGATGGGAAGTGGAGACACTAGTGAGGCGCCTAGGCTCTGGCTATGTAAACCATTTGGGGAATGGATTATTTCAGCATCCGTAATCCAGAACCAGACACCACTCATCCCTAACCTGTGTCCTACAGCTGTAAGAAGGTAAACAAACTGTGTTTCTTCCCAATCAGTGCTGGTGCCCTGAAGTAGCCTGCCTCTAACCTGGATACCTAACACAATTAGCAATGACATATGATTACAATCTTCCGTTTCTCATGTTTGACAGAATTCAAACAAAAGAGACTTGACAACATAGCATGCATGTAGAATTTCTGATACAATAAAAAAACAGACTAAAGATACTCCATTCTGGCTCATGCCAGTGTTAAATGAATTAGAGTGGAATAAAGTAGGCCGACGACTTGCCTTCTCTAGGCAGTTGGAGGCCATGGAAGTGGCCCTGTTGATGAGTCACAATCAGCTGTGTGGCTCAGGACTCGGCCAGACGCCCTGGCCTCTCATGAAATGGGTTTTCCTCCCACTGTAAGTTTCTTTTTTTTTTAAGATTTATTATTATTATTATTATTTTTATTGCAAAGGCGGATATACAGAGAGGAGAGACAGAGAGGAAGATCTTCCGTCCGATGATTCACTCCCCAAGTGAGTGCAACGGCCGATGCTATGCCGATCTGAAGCCAGGAGCCTCTTCTGGGTCTCTCACGCGGGTGCAGGGTCCCAAAGCTTTGGGCCGCACTATAAGTTTCACAGCATCTAGCAAATGGTCCCATGTGTCTTGGGTAAAGTTAAAATGTTTGGATGACAGGTACTTAAGATTCTTCCCCGTAAAGCAGTGAACCTAAGCATACTTCAGAGTGCAAAGGGCTGGCCCAGCAGGTTAAGTCACCGCCTGCGACGCTGGGGTCCCCCTCTCAGGGCACCTGCTTTCCATCCAGCTTCCTGATCATGTACCTGGGAAAGCAGCAGCAGAGGGCTCACCTACCTGCACCCCATCCTCCCATGTGGGGGGCCTGAACGAAGTTCTTGACTCCTGCCTTCCACCGGGCCCAGCCCCAGCTGCTGCAGACATCTGGCAAGTCGATTAACAGACAGAGATCTCTGTGCCTGTCTCAGCCTTTCGGTTACATCTTTTATTACAATGTTTGTGACAAACAGAATTAAAGTTTAAAATTATGCACTCCGAAGATCTTCAAAAAGTTCACAAGAAATATGTGCTACATAAAACCTTGGGACCAGCACCATGGCATAGCAAGCTAAACCTCCACACGCAGTACCAACATTTCATTTGATCACTGGTTCAAGTCCTGGTTGCTCCACTTTGATCGAGCTACCTTCAACAGCCTGGGAAGGCGGCAGAGGAGGGCCCAAGTCCTTCAGCCCTTGCAACCACGGGAAAGATCTGGAAAAAGCTCCTGGCTTCAGATGGCTCTGGCCATTACAGTCATTTGGGGAGTGAACCAACAGATGGGAGATCCTGTCTCTTGCCTCCTCTCCCTCTGTAACTATACTGTTCAAATCAAAGTACATAAACCTTTTTTTAAAATCTATGAATTTCCACTTCATGTTTATTTGAGTGACAGCTCTGCCGGTTCAGGGCCCAAATACCAACCACAGCTAGGATTAAGACAGGGTCAGAACCTCCACCTAGGTCTCCCATGTGGCTGTCAAGGACACATCCAGTTAAGCCCTTACCAACACCCTCCAGGATGCAAATTAACAAATCTAATTTAGACTTTATCGAGCATAGTCTAAAGCAGGATTTCCGGTAGGAAAAGCCTTTTTAAGTCTGACATGAAATCAGTTTCAACTGCATTCCCTGTCACAGATTTGCAGACTGTGAGTATCAGAAATCGAACCACGGACTCTGTTCTGTTTCTGTGACAGAACACTTGAGACTGGGCTGTTACTGGAGCAGAGGTTAGGTCTTCCACTCGGGGGCTGGACAGCCCTCACAGGAGCCGTGTGCGGGGCACCCTCCCCACAGACTCGATCCTCCAGCACCCAGTGTCAGAGGGGGTGAGCCCACTGCCCACCACCCAGCCTGTCGGCGCATGAGACAGACAGATGTGGCAGAGGTTCTGTCCGAGCAGTTCTGGTTTATTTGGGAAACACGAACTCTTATATAGGAACAGTGAACAGCCTCAGGCCAGGAGTTCCAGGAGAGGGAAGAGCTAATCACCGTGCGGAAGCCGCCTCCCCCAGACCAGGGGCAGGTGGGCACAGGGTGTTCAGGAGCACAGACACGGCCCTGGCCAGTCTTTCTCAGAACAACTGATCCCCGCCCTGGTTCATGCCCAGGCCTCTTCCACTGGTCACCATCTTGTTCGACACGTGTGACCCAGTGGCCTCTTTGTCCTAAAGCCACACAGCATGTGCACTGCAGGAGTGGAAGGGTGTGTGTGGACAGGAGCCCATCCCTTGCACGGGCATCCCACTGTGAGTGCAGCACTCTCACCTGTCACTGTCAGCACCGCTGGACTGGGGACTCCAACCCGGGAACTCTGGAGCACGTGTTCTCACACCGAGACACCCAGTCTAACCTCCTCCATCTCACGCTCCTAGGAGCTTTCAACACAGTGTGGAAAGCCGAGCTCGCTGCCTCACCGTGCGACTCACGGCTCTCCGAGCTGCTCCGCGTCCATCCGCAGTGCTGGTGCATCCCACCTTGCAGTTTTTGCTGCTGGGTACAATTTTGTGCCCCACAACCAACGACTCATTCAGTTCAGCGAGGACTCAGCGTTCATGATAAGATTGCTTATGCCTGTCCTCTCGGGAAACACGAAGGATGGAGGCGTGTCTCAGGTGACCCAAGCCCTCCCGACCTTGTTCTGAATGCCATCACTGGCAGCCTGAGAGTTTTAAAAGCTCATTTCACTTGCTACCACTGAAAGCAAAGAGTTCACGCCTTTGGAATATCACAGGAAGAAAGAATTTCAAATACTTACTTCCCAGCCCTTGGTTTTACAATTCATGTACCATTTTCAGTTCAACTGAATTGGCAAACAGGAAGATGAGGCTTCTGCAGCAATTTCTGTTCATTAGTTTTAATCTCTTGGAGACATTTCGTTTATTTAAAACAGCCTCAAACATTGTAAAGGCATGATTGGGTATAATCACACTAAATAACAGATTTTACCAACAAAAGTGTGTCACTGAAATTCGCTCCTCTTACTTTTTTTTAAAGTAACACTGATGAACCAGTGGCAGCAACTTCCCCTCTCTGTGAAGTCTATGTGTGTCAGTTGCACCTCCAATAAAAGTTCCATTGACAAATATTCTTGGAACCTGTCAGATAAATAAAAGGTAAATTAGGCCTCACTCAAACATTAGAAGTGCAAAGTCATCTCACAGCAGTAATAATAAATGTGCACATTCTGGTTACGATGCTTAGCCCTAGTGGAGGAAAAACGAGGAGGAACTGGTTCCAGATCATGGCAGTAAATGATGGAGCTGAGATTCAAATCTAGGACAATGTGACTCAGAGTCCTTCCTCCGGTGGAATTCTGACTCCTAGTAACGTCTAAGTGGTTCTTCTACATGTATCCATTAAAGAACAAACTTCCACGCACACATACCCAAGCATGAAAGCAACAACACTGCCCGCAGCCCTGAAGCAGCTGGCAGGTCATGCAGTTCTGCAGTGCCCAGATAAGGGCGGGGCACTCCGAGAGCACCCGCACGACGCACAGGTGACGGCTCAGACAGCGCCATCACCCCGCCGCGTCCCGGCCAACGCAGACACACAGACAGCGAGCGGTGCTGTTGTCATGTCTAACCCTTGCTTTCTCGATCGATGCATGATCCCTGGGGACGTCTGGCTCGTTCCTCTCCCCACCCACAATGCGGGAACAGCTCCAAGGTAGGTCTACTCACTGTTCTCTCTCCAGTCATTTTGTGAAGAGCATCCTGAAACTGGCTTCCGTACTCCAACATGTCCAGTTCCACCACTTTATAGTTGATATTCATATCGTGGAAAAGCTTTTTTGCCATCGTACAGTAAGAACAGGTTGTTTTTGAGAAAATCACCACACAATTATCAGAAATTGTTTCCTGTAATCAAACCCCAAAAATCATTTTAATTCGAGACATACATTTTGGGAAAGGAATTACAATACAATAGAAAGGGTGTTGATGGTAAAGTCCAATGAATCAGCACTCAGACTAAGCTGCTACCATCTATTCTATTCATCTATAGACAAAGGATAACAGTCATTTCAAAGGAATGTTACTGGAAAAACATGCAACCAACAGACAACAATTACCTGTCCATACCCACATTAAGAGTAGCTGAGTCTCATAGCCAGCAATGTGGTATAGCAGGTAAAGACGCCACCTGCGACTCTAGCATCTCATATGGGCTCCTCCCATTCAGCTCCATGCTGGTGGCCTAGGAAAAGTACTGGACGAAGGTCCAAATACTTGGGAGCCCAACACCCACCTAAGAGACCCAGATAAAGCTCCCAACTCCTGGCCAGGCTGTCACAGTCATGCTCAAGCAGCTGGACCCTTGCTACACATGTGGGAGACCTGGATGGAGTTTCCCAACCCCAGCAGGTGTGGGCATTTGGGGGATGAACAAGCAGGTCAGAGCTTGATGTGTATATCTCCCTTCTCCCTCTGCACCTGTCTGCTTTTCAAACAATTTAAACTTAATAAGTCTCATACTCAACTCACACACACCTGCATATGCCAGGCCCAGTGTTCCACACCTGGCCTCTTCCAGGTCACGTAAGCCTCGCCAGTCCTGAGGTCGCAGCATGCACCTTGCAAGGGAGCAAAGTGGGTCACTTCAAAGCAGAGCGAGCATGTGCTCACGGTCCTCAAGTTGTAAATGGGGGCGCCAGATGCCAAGCCTGGCCAGTAGACGTGGCTGTACGGCCGGGGCACTTCACCACTGTCTCACCACTCACACGCTCAGCAGGCATTCAGATCTTGGCTGCTCACCTCATGCAACTGCCAAAGCTGAGGAAGGATATGAGATTTCTCTGGGAGGTGAGGTTTTCACTAACCCAAGTGCAACAATAGCTGACTCCTCCCATATGTCCTCCCAGCACACCAGCTAGCCCAGGACACCGATAAGGTGTTCTCACACTGCTGGTCCCGGGAAAGCTCCTCTCGGACGCACAGGAAGCAGAGGCTAGCAGGAGTAGTTTGCAAAACTCCGGAGATGATGCCTCTCTCAGCCTGGTCTGGAAGCCTCCCGCCAGGCTCTCTCCACAAGAAGCACGAGGCTGCCCTGTGCATCTGCGCAGCCAGCGACACTGGGTTTGTTGTTCGCTTCTGGGAGTGTGGCGGTCCAGGTCCTCCCGGCAATCTGAATGGGTATAGCCAGCACCAGGCAGCTGTCTACGCTGCTCTTCCGTGTGGGCTGAAGAAAAGCACCTTCCAGACCAAGGTCACGAAACCAAGGAGAGTAACTAGGCAAAAATGCTGCCGAAGCTACACGCCAGCTTGGATGTCAGAGGGACTTGGCTCACAGACCCACTGTTGGTAGTCTGTCTAGTTATGCTTTCTCGTGGTTAAGTATACAAATATCTCAGGAAGGACCACTCACCTTAGGAAAGTGTTCACAAATCCATTTTACAGATGACAAAACTGAGGCAGTGGGATTCACAATATCTGAATGCTCTTTTTCAAAAACTTCCCTTAATATTCCAACACTTTACTTATTTGCATTTTATTGAAAATCAGGGACAGATCTTCCATCCTCTGGTTCATTTCCCACATGACTCTAAGAGCCAGGACAACTCTGGCTCTCCCACATGGGTAGCAGGGACCAAAGTATTTCAGCCGCTGCCGGATGCCTCCTGGGATGTACGGCAGGCAGGGGCTGGGAGTAGGACATCATCCCAGGCGCTCTGACACCGGACATGGGGAGGTCTCAACTACTGCACTAAGCACCTGCCCCATTCCAGAAAATTCCTAAAAATCAGATTCAGGACAGGAAGGAAGGGAAGGTGTGGGAAGGCAGAAGGGAGAAGGAGAGAAGGAATGACTGATGGCATCTGCTGGTTACACGCATGTTCACAACAGCCAGGACTGGCCCAGGCCAAGGTCAGGACTGAGGACCTCCACCAGCTCTCCGACATGGGTGGGTAGATCATCCACGCAGCAGCACAGGTGGGCCGGAGCAGAGGCCGGCCTCCACCCAGGCACACCAGGGTGGAATGCAAGCCTCTCCAGCACTGCTTCACCCGCTCCATCACAACACACACCCTCCCTTCTCACACACTTTAATTACCCAAATGATCTAGGGCTGCTTGGGCTCAGGGATTGTTTTAATAGCAGATTTAAAAATGAGTATTAATTCAGTAGCTCATTTGATGAGCGATGCCTGGTTTGGACATTGAGTGAGCATAACATGTATGTGTCAAGACCCAATTCTGTTCCAGAACATGGTTCTTGCCCTTGTGTCTCCCACACACCACTCACCTGGATCTGGTTCACAGGAGAGGTTGCTGACGACCCCAAGGACGTCGATGTGCTGCTTCCCATCCTGAAGAGAATTAGAAAGGACGGTACAGTTCAGTAAGCAGTAGTCAAAATACAGTGCATGTGTTATCTGAGGAAAATTTTTAAGCACCAATACATCCAAACTGGGAAGGGCCAGAGTTGCAGCACAGTGCGTTGGTTCACATCCAGCTGCTTTGCCTCCAATTCAGCCCCCGGCTAGTGCACCTGAGACCGGGGGCTAAAGCACCTGAGACCGGAGGCTAATGCACCTGAGACTGGAGGCTAGTGCACCTGAGACAGCCTCGAAATGCGGACCCTCGTACCACCCTGGCTCCTGGTTCTCCCTCTTTGTCATTCTATAGCTTTTATTTTTAAAGATGTATTTATTTGAAAGAGAGGGAGACACAGAGAGAGAAAGATCCTCCATCTGCTGAGTCATTCTTCAGGAAGTACAACTGCCAGGACTGAGTTGGGCAAAAGCCAGGAGTCCAAGGCTTGGGCCAGCCTGCTTCTCACAGGCTGTCAGCAGGAAGCTGGATCAGCAGTGTAGAAGCTGGGACTCGCACAGGTGCTATATGGGATGCCGGTGCTGCAGACAACGTCTTTATCCACTACACAGCAACACCAGCCCATCAATGCTTTTACATCAAGTTCTAGGATAAGAAACACACCTGCCAAGCAGCACCAACACCTGCGTGCAGTCCCAAGAAGGCTATTTTTACTACAGCTTCTTTTTATAAGGTCCCAATCAACCCTTTTTTTTCTTTTTCACTCAGTATGAACATGTAGTCCCGTTTGTCAGTGAATGTTTGAGCAGGCTACCCTGGGATGCCATTAGTCTATGCAGTGGACCTGCACATTCCGGGGTGGGGGGGGGGGGCGGAAGGAAGCTCTAACAACCACCAACTTCAGTTGTAACAAAAATGCATGAGACACTGCAACACTGCAACTACCCAGTGCCTCCAATCTGTTATTCCTTGCTTCTCAACAAATCAGCAAGGAAATCCAACAAACATAAAAATAGGAGCTGGCCCAGTGGTTAAGGCGCCCACCTCCCACCGCAGTACCTGGGTCCAACTCCATTCCCAGTGCTAACTCCAGTTTTCCACAGCTGGCCCTGCACTGAGTTCCTGCCTCCTAGCCCCAGCCCCGACTGATGCTGGCATTTAGGAGTGAATTGGCAGGCACGGACTCCTGCATACAACTCCCTCTGGGTGTGCGCTTATACTGGACAGGGCTGAGGAGTAACCAGATGAGGGGGCTGGACCAGGGCCACCATCACCGAAAACACCACTGTAGGCCGGTGGGGCGGGGGGGTGGGGGGGGAAGCAAAACGATTTGGCAGTTGACACTAACTTAAGGTTCTCTGACGGAATACATCAGCTTCTGGTCTGCTCAAAACCATCACTACAGCATTTACCCCTAAAAGAACAAGCCCTCTAGAACATTCCTAAGAGGTGGGGGGATGAGGCTAACTGAAGATTCTGAGTAGTACTCCTCGCTCACCTCCCCCACCGCATACAACAAGCTTCTAGAAGGACCTTTCGCCTTCCATTGCTAGCTGCGTCTAGGAACACCAGCTTCCCAGGCAAGGAAGGGGCCTGGAGAGACAGCGCATCACCAAAAGTAAGCAGTGGACGCAGAGCCTGCTTGGGGGCCAAGTGAGCCCATGTGTCCGCAGAGGCCAGTATGGGGGTCTCCCTGTGGTCGGCAGAGCGAACCCCGAGTCCCGGGGAGGCCGTGAGGGACTTAAAGCGGCACCGCCTCCCCCAACACACACCCAGGCCGGCCGCGGATCTCGCTCCAAAGCCCGCGGGGTGCCCAGGGCGAACACCTGATCAAGCCGTGCTGCTTGGGTCACCGGTTCCGACCGCAGACCCCCGCGTCCCCTCGCGTCCTTCCCGAGCAGCCGCCCCCGTACCCGGCTCTTCTCGCCGTGCCGACCAGCCGCTGGGCCGCGCCGCCCCCTCTCCGGAACAGCTGCGTCCCCACCAGCGCCGGGCGCCGCCAGGACATGGTGGGAGCTCGGGTCCGCGACCGGCGAAGGGGCCTGTGGCTGCGGCGCCGCACTGCCCGCCCGCTCCGCCGGGCCCCGCCTCCGGCCGCCGGGCGCCGCGCCCCGCCCCGGGCTGCCCGCGCCGCCGCCGGCCTCCTCGGGTCAGCCGGCCTCCTCGGGCCAGCCGAGCCCCGGGTGTCCCCGGCCATCGCGGCCCACGTGCCGCCGGCGCGCCAGCGTGGGCGCCGCTCACCTGCGCGCTGGGCCGGCGCGCTCCGGCTGGCCCCTGGATGCCACGCAATGCTCCTGGAGGCCACGCGCATTGCGCGAAGCAGCGCCAAGAGGACCCCTGACGGCGTGCGTGCTCACGGCCTGGGTGGAAGCATCCTCGCAGGGTCCGGCCACACGGGATTCCTGCGGCGTGGTACAAACTCTTCGGTTGCCACCCGCGGATCAGGCCCGGGGTTCAGGACCCTCAGAATTCATGCTGCACGGGGAGAGGTGGGGTGGGTTTCACGTTCAGAACTTTTAAATTGTGTTCCGGTGTTGAACAGTTCTGTTTCCAAAAACTACAGGTGACATTCGGGAACCAAAGGCAGTGGCTCCGAGGTGCTCCCTACCCCGGTGGCTCGGCGAGGGCCGCCGGTACACAGCTTCTGGTCTTGGTAATAAAGGCCTGTTGGTGCGTCACTCTCAAGTCACGGAGTCAGCCTTCATTTGTAAGGGGAACGCTCAGATCTTAGCATCAAGGGGAAGTAGTGGGTCTCAAACTCCATCCACTGGGATTGGGATCGAACACTTTGTCGCCACTAGTTTACTCCCCCAGCTCGCACGGCTGAATTTCCTTTCGCTCACGGGATGAGAAAGTCAGCTACAGAAACACATACTGCTCAACTGTGGTCGCTCTTCATAAATACAAACTCAAACTTTGTTTTTATTAAGGTATATCCTCTACAATGTTGCTTTTACTATTTTTTTTTTTAAGGCAAAACAGCTCTTTGGGCGACTTTATTTTTTGTTTAAGAATATTAACTAATTGTCTGAAATTTTATCTCAAAGATAAATGAGATGGGGCCCGGCGCGGTGGCGCAGTGTTTAAGGTCCTCGCCTTGCACGCCCGGGATCCCATATGGGTACCGGTTCTATCCCGGCAGCCCTGCTTCCCTTCCAGCTCCCTGCCTGTGGCCCGGGAAAGCAGTCGAGGACGGCCCAAAGCTTTGGGACCCTGCACCCGCATGGGAGACTTGGAAGAGACTTGGGGAGTGAATCATCAGGTGGAAGATCTTCCTCTGTCTCTCCTCCTCTCTGTATATCTTTGTAATGAAAATAAATAAATCGTTTTAAAAATACACATATTTTTATTGGAAAGGCAGAATTACAGAGAGGAGAGAAACAGATCTTTCATCCACTGGTTCACTCCCCAAATAGCTGCCATGGCTGGAGCTGAGCTGATCTAAAGCCAGGGACCAGGAGCATGGAAGTGGAGTAACTGGGACATAAACCAGCACCCATATGGGATCCTGACGCTTTAAGAGGTAGGATTAGCCAATTGAGCCTTTGTGCTGGGCGCAGGTCTCAATTTTTTTTTAAAGATTTATTTTATTTTTATTGGAAAGTCAGATATACAGAGGAGAGACCGAAAGAAAGATCTTCTATCCGATGATTCACTCCCCAAGTGAGCGCAACGGCTGATGCTATGCTGATCCTCAGGCAGGATCCAGGAACTTCCTCCAGGTCTCCCACATGGGTGCAGGGTCCCAAAGCCTTGGGTGACAATTTATACGTCTTTCCTAAGATCAAGGACAGTGCAGAGCGGGACAGACACAGCCCTCACAACAAGGGACGAGACTGAGGGTGTCACTGCTTAAGGAATGGAAGAACACTCAAGGAGAATGCAGGCAGCAGGGGCAGGAGGGCTAGCTGCTCACTGGCCACTAGCAAGGCCAGCGCCAGCAGAGAAGGGAGAGTAGACACCAGCAGGCTCCCTGGGCAGACAACTGCAGAAACCACAGAGCCTGCATGTGAGTGACCGCAGCCACGGGCGGGTCCAGCCAGGTAGTTGAATGGCAGGGAGCAGGTCTTGGGGGGGAGCTGGGGGTGCTTCCCTGTGCTCCTGGGGCTGAGGATCGGCTGGAAGCTCTGAGAACTTGCTTTCTGGTGGTCTCAAGGGCAGTTGGAGAGGCACAGTCTGGGTGTACAAGTCTGAGCATGGCTGCGCCAATGTTTTGGCATCTGGTGTGGACTGTGGAGTGACGGCTGAGCACAGGCAGGAGGCACATCAGAACAGCAGCCAGGAGGCAGCTGCTGTCATCTCAGAACCCAGCAAGCATGCAGAGGGGGAACTCATCAATCTAACATGCTGAAGTCAGGCATAACACTTTGGTCTGAAGTACAGTCCGGGAACATATATGTAATTATTTATGTTTATTATACAAATTTACAGATGAGAGAAAGATCTATCTGCTGGTTCACTCCCCAAGTGACTACAACAGCTGGAGCTGAAATTAAAACTCAAGAGCCAGGTACTTTTTCTGGGTCTTCCAGGTAGATGCAGGTTCCCAAGGCTTTGGGACACCCTCCACTGTTTTCCCAGGCCACAAGCAGGGAGCTGGATGGGAAATGAAGCAGCCGGGACACAAGCCAGCACCCTTATGGAATCCCAGTGCTTCAATGCTTAAAGATCAGCCAGTTGAGGCACTGTACTGGTTCCAGTCTGGGATCTTTCAAGATGAAAACATTCTGTCCATAGAATCTCGTGCTTAATACAGTGCCAGTCCTCTGCAAAAGTTAGATGGTAGGGACCAGCATGGTGGTATAGAGTGCTTAGCATCTGACTGCAGGGAGCAGTTCACATCCTGCTGCTCCAGTTGCAATCTGCCTCCTGCTTATGGCATAGGAAAGCCACCGAGGATGGCCCAAGTCCTTGGGACTCTACCCATGTGGGAGACCAGAAAGAAGCTCCTGGCCCCTGGCTTCAGATCAGCTCAGCTCTAACCATTGTGGCCATTTGGGGAGTGAACCAGTGGGTAGAAAATTTATCACTCCTTCTCTTTGTAACTCTGCCTTTCAAATATATGTAAGTCTTAACAATAAAATAGATTATAACCAAATTATTTTACAACATATTGATCTATAATATTCAGCCTTTGAAATGAAACTGAATCTCAGAAAAGCGTTTCACCAAAATTGTTCAGTTGATTTTTACAAGTTCTCGCTGAAGTTATAATTCAAGAAAATGTTAAGAATAATGTAAATACTAGGGTAAAATGACTCTTTTCTATATATACTCATATTGTAACTGCACAAAATATATATTTCTCTTTTTTGTACGCTAATGAACAAAATAAGCCCTGAGCCTATGACTATTTGTCTGTTCACCTCATTGATAACACTGGAATCACCACCACAGGGCTTTGTGGCTTTCAGATCTCAGCTCAGTAATGTCCTGTAGCTCTTGAGAAGAGCAGCCTGCTATCCTTTCCTCGTGATAAAGCCAATCTGCCTACCAGTTCCCCAAGGCCCTCTGTCCGCATCGGAGATGCCCTGTAATGAGCCTTGCACTGGGCTAGCATGTGGCCACCTGCTCCTGATGAGCCGAGAGTCACGCCCCCAGTCACCCTCCCTCAGGAGGAGGCTAGTTCTGTCCTACACCCATCTGATGTCCTCATCTACCGCCAATTCAACTTCATCTTTTTATTCTCAAACGTTGTCTTCATTATTCTGGAACAATGAGGAATATGCCCCACTGACAAGGACGCAGGGAGCTATGTCTCTTCCAATGTCTGTGATGGACAGGGTTGCACTGCGCCAAAGTCAGGAGCCAGGATCCCCATTTGGGTCACACACATGAATGGCACATAAAGAGAGGTAATTGTGTGCTTGGAAAACCAAAAGATTCTACTTTGAAAATCCATTGTACCAAGAAAATTTAATGAGGTAATCACACAAAATAAATGTATGAAATTCAAAAGCTGTTCACGCACTAGCAATTCACACAGTAGCAATAAGCAAAGCACTGTGGCAATAGTAAGTCAAGTCTACAGTGCCACACCCCATATGAGCACTGGTTCAAATCCTGGCTGCTCCATTTACAATGCGGCTTCCTGTAATGCAGCTGGGAAAGCAGGCAAGGCTGGTCCAAGTCCTTGGGTTTCTGCCCCCATGTAGAACTCAAAGGAAATGAATTCTGCATATGAGAAGGGATCTGTAATCCTATATTTACAGCAGCACAAATAGCAAAGACATGGAAACAACCCAGATGCTAAAGAAACCCAGTGGCTAAAGAAACTGTGGTAAATTTACTCCATGGAATATTACTCAGCCACTAAAAAGAATGAAATCCTACAATTTGCAACTAGATGGTCCCAACTAGACACCATTATACTCAGTGAAATAAGTGAATCCATATATTCTGACATAAGGCAGCGTTTATGTAAGTTGTAAGATCAATAACCCTTTCCATACTGTTTTTGCTGCATCCCATATTTTGAGGTTTTGTTTTTACTTTCATTTCTTCCAAATACTTTATTTTTTTCTAATCAAATTCATCGCTGGCTCATCGATCACACAGTGGCGTCATTTACCCAAGAGGCTTTTGCGTTTTTTCATTTCTTCATCCTTGCATCGGTAATCCAGTTGCACATTTTTTGACTCCATGGTGCTGTAATTTTTTTTATCTTAATACCTGTTGTTGACTTAGTTTCATGGCTTCTCATTTAAGGGAATGTACAGTGATGGTGTAATAGATCATCACATCCAGATGTGAAGATACAATGCAGTATGCATCTCTGCTTCCAAATCAAAGACAAATTCCCAAAGAAACTGTTGGACATATCTAGACAATAGAATGCTGGATGGTCTCACATTGTCTGTCCCAGCAATGTCAGGGAACACTTAAATAAGTAACTGATGGACTTATGACTGCTTATGAAGGACTATACTATTGTAATAATATGGAGAAAATCAGTTGAGTGGTGGTAATTTAGGCAGGGTGTAGGGAAATCCCAGACCCTATGGAATTGTATCATAACATTCAAAAATTTTAAAAATCTGTAAAGAAAAAAAGCCCAAACTATGTTGTTCAAAGATGAAGGGCCTTGGATTTTAAAAACATACAACCACCACAAAATTCGTACTTTCTTTAGATTTATTCATTTGCAAGCTAAGAGTTTGGTGGACAGAGATGTCATGCATCCACTGGCTCACCCTCCAATGGTGGCTGCTGCCAGGAGCTACATCTGAGTCTCGCTTGGTGTGGCAGTGTCCAAGCAATTGAACCATCTTCCACTGCTTTTCTTACAGTGTTAGCAGTGAACAAGGTGGACACTAACTGGCTGTCACAGGTAGATACTCTGCTCATTACGCCACAAGAATGGACTGAAAATTCAGTTACTGAAGAAAAGAGACGCTTTCTTGATGTGCATAGTGTTTATTTGGTACACATATTAACGTCTACAATAATGAACTGATGAGTAACAGTCCACCTGTATCCCAGGCCTACAGCAATTTACAAGTTGAGCATCCTTAGTCCAAAAAACAAATGCTCCAAAGCCCAAGACCTTGTTGAGTACTGACAAGATGTCACCAAGTGGGAAACTCAACAGGTGGATCTCTGTAACAGGTTACACTGGAAACAGTGCCCAAGATTAGCGTCTCAGGAATTTGTGAACTGTTTCCCAAGCACTTCACTGGGTAAATGGAAACAGAAGCCCACAACCATTATGGCCCATGTTGCGGACGAGGGATACTCCAACCTGCGTGAAGTAGGAGTGTGTAGGGCTGGAAAGGAGAAGTGGAAGATTTTACAGTATTAGTGAAAACTTGCATCATTAAATAAACTGACACATTAGTACATTCACCCATTTCCCACGAGCAAACAGAATTATTACATACTAGCTGTACTACTTACAGTGAGAAGTTGGAAGCATCAGTTTGTTAACAAACCTAGGAAACTCCCATCCCGCCCACCTTGCCCTTTCAGTTTTCTGGAAATGAAATAACTTTGTTACATATCAGATTTATACTTTTTTAAGCAACACCTTGACAATTTACAGTTTTCTTTCAGTTTTATAAAATATTTCTTCTTTGAAAGGTGAATATAAAAGAGTCCATGTAAATATACCGCTGGCCTGTTTTAATGAAGTCACTACTGTATCCGTTTCTGTGTATGAATTTGCTTGTAGATTCAAAACAGTCTGTTTTTAAGAATCACCTTAAAAATAAGTCGTTTTGGAGTTGTGCAACTCTTACATTTCATTGTTAAATATGGAACTTGGTCCCTGGAGGCCACAGAATAGTCAAAGTTCAGCTTCTTGGATGACTGGTTATATGAAACAGTAAGAAAGCAAAAACACTTTAATCTGCAACAGGCTTGGATGTGTAACAGTGCAGCCAGAGTATCATGTTTAGATCACTGAAGTACAATCAGCTTTTAAAACTTAATAAATTCGGATTCATTTGGGGTAACATTAAGAGTGTTAAGAGACCCTTTGAGTCCCAAACTTCTGATATGTTAAAACATTATTAAGGCATCACTTCACACACAGACCCTGTGCTAACGGAAGAGACAAACAACAATGCCGGTGCTGGATAGCTAGTCAGATTTTAAGGCAGGCAAAAGGCTCCTCTTTCTTTTTTTCCACTTTAAGGCTTGCATTCTTAAACTGAATCTATGCTGACATTATTTCATGTAATTTATACATTAACTAATAGTCAATTGTGGAAATCAAACCTCTGATATAGTTTAGAACTAACACACTGTCCCTCTGATTCTTTAAAAAAAAAAAAAAGATTTATTTTATTTTTATTGGAAAGTCAAACATACAGAGAGAAAGATCTTCCGCCTGGTGATTCACTCCCCAAGTGACCTCAACGGCCGGTGCTGTGCCAATCCAAAGCCAGAATTCAGGAGCCTCTTCCAGGTCTCCCACGCGGGTGCAGGGTCCCAAGGCTTTGGGCCGTCCTCGACTGCTTTTCCAGGCCACAAGCAGGGGGCTGGATGGGAAGTGGAGCTGCTGGGATTAGAACCGGCGTTCATATGGGATCCTAGTGCGTTCAAAGTGAGGACTTTAGCTGCTAGGCTGCAGGGCGCCAGATCCCCTCTGATTCTTTTTTTAAAAGATGATTCCACATTTTGGGTGATTTCATCATTTTGGGTGAATTTCTTCATTATCAGAGGCAGCCAATAAAAATATAACTTGAAACATTATAGAACTTGTATATTTAGAATCATGACATTAAAGTCTACATTTAGAATGGTTATTGCCACTCATTAATTCTATATTTCTAATTTAATTTGATTGTGTATAGATTGTGAAGTTTACAAATTGCAAATAAAGTCTAAAAATTTGTATCAATAAATTGTATCTTTTTAATCTCATTCATCATCCTAGCAATTCAAGTGTTCATTAAGTGAAGCCAGCAGAAATGTTATTTCATTAGCATCTTCTTGGTTACAATACAGATTCGGGTAATTTCCACAAGTGCAGGAAATGTAAACAATTTAAAACTAACATGTATTCATGAAATTAAATTTGATGCACAGCATGGCTAAGACAAGTCGAAGCAAGGGAGTCTAGGATCTAAACCCACTTTTTAATATTTTTCTTGCACTTACAAATCCATTCACATTGAAACTTTTCATGATAATTTAAAAACTGTTTTTAAAATGAAAGATATATTTTACTTTTATTTGGAAGGCAGTCAGAGAAGGACAGAGAGAGAGCTTTCACAGACTGGTTCACTCCCTAATGGCTGGCCTGGGCCAGGCCACAGCCAGGAGCCAAGGTCAAAGCCAGCAGCCAAGAGGTTTTTCCAGGTCTCTCACATGCCCCAGTGCTTCAAATCAACAGGGAGTTCTCATTTGCAAGTCCTCAAAATTTTACTTTTTATAGAAATATTAATCATTTCTTTTATGACCCAAGCATTAGATGTTATTTTTTCGAGATAGAAAAATAGTTAGTATAGGTTACACTGGTTATCTATCATCTCACAGTTAAGTTAGAGAGAAGCAGTTCCAAAGGGATGACATTAAACGCCATTCACTGGCACACTGCCTCAGTAACATTCTTGTAAAAGTTTCTAGACTAGTGTAAGTGGTGATAAATGAAACTGGCAAAGAACTTCAAATTCTAAGACAGGGTAAGATTATAACAGCAGTTTCTGTTTTACTAGTTACAACTCTATGCTGGATATATTTACATACTAGCTAGGAAAGAAAGCTTCTCCTAGGATTGTTTTTAAAGCAGATTTCCCCAAATATCAATTTAACTGCATTTGTAAAATTTAGAAAATAAAACGTTTATCACTCAAGTACATTCTCTTTATAATGAGGTAATTCTTTTCCATAGGACTAGGTTAAACAGCAACAGTTTATTAAAAACAATACTAACTGTACTTGAGGATCATTACAGATTACAAAATTAAGTGTTCACAATCTGTTCTCCTATTCCTACAACTGTGTATAACTATTATTTTCTACAGTCTAAGAGGTGTCAGTCCTTTCCTTTGGAGTCAGGGTGTGCTCATGCTAGAGGCATGCACACTGGAATGGGTGCCAAGAGACTGGGATCCCTAATTGCAGGTCCCGGAGCCACCCTGGGCTGCACCCCGGCTCTCCCGGAGCTATCCCGGGCCGGACCCCGGCTCTCCCGGAGCCATCCCGGGCCGGACCCCGGCTCTCCCGGAGCCATCCCGGGCCGGACCCCGGCTCTCCCGGAGCCATCGCGGGATGCACCCCGGCTCTCCCGGAGCCATCCCGGGCTGGACCCCGGCTCTCCCGGAGCCACCCCGGGCCGGACCCTGGCTCTCCCAGGCTGGACCCCGGGCCGGACCTCGGCCTTCCAACCAAATCACAAAGTTTGTTTTCATGGTGTGAACACTTGTTTCACCTCTAGTTCTGTGGTTTGAAAAGAGAGCTACTTTCTGTGGTTGCATCTCTTAATTTTTTTCTGAAATCTTACAATAATCCATCTAACCAGACCGACTTAAAACAAGCAATAGATAGTCCTTGATGGATTTAATATTAGTGCCTTGATATACTGCATTTGTCTAAAAGCACTATGAAAACAGTATATAATGGAAGGATATAGACATGTATTTTCTGCTTCATATTTCTATTATGAATAAAAAATTTAGTTTCAGGAAATTCTGAAGAATTTCAGAACTATTGCATAATTCTATGGTTGTTTAGAAAGATTTATTTCTTTTTATTGGAAACTGAGATATACAGAGAAGAGGAGAGACAGAGGGGAAGATTTTCCATCTGATGATTCATTCCCCAGGTGGCTGTAATAGCTGGAGCTGAGCCGATCCGAAGCCAGGAGCCTGGAGTTTCCTCCGGGTTTCCCTCGTGGGTGCAGGGTCCCAAGGCTTTGGGCCGTCCTCGACTGCTTTCCTAGGCCACAAGCAGGGAGCTGGGTGGGAAGTGGGGCTGATGCAATTAGAACTGGTGCCCACATGGGATCCTAGCACATGCAAGGCGAAGGACTTCAGTTGCTAGGCTACCGTGCCAGACTATATGTTGTTTATTTTTAAAAAATATATAGTCTCAACAGAATTTTCATGTATCAAAAATAGTTAACATGAAACTCCATGACTGATAGAACCAGAATAAAATCAATGGCAAAGCCTGTCTGTGTATGTATATGTGTGTCTGTCTATGTAGAGGGAGGGAGTTGTCACTGGCTCTGCGGACCAAAGATATCTCGAGGCAATTCACATTTAAAAAGTGTTACCAGCTTTTGCCTTGAAGGAATGGTTACATATCAAAGCCATCATTAATATGTCTAGTACACTGAAAAGAATATTCTTAATTCCTGTTTCCCAGTTACCCATGAAACAGAATATACTCATAAATTCTCATTCTACTCACTTCCCTTTCCCCAAACACATAAAAGCTTAAGCTGAATCACATAACAGACTATAACTTATTTACCCGAGTTTGATTTATACCTTCAATTAATATTTCAAGAATGAAAAACTGCAATTTCATATGTGAGCTATTTTAGGCAACTGATAAAGTTATGAGGAAAGAGATGAACATTTCAATAGACAGCCTAAATGTGTCTGCCAGTGAAAGGCTACTTGTTTAAGAAAATAATGCAGTTAGTGTAAAGAACAGCGTGTGTGACGCACACAGGCACAGACGAGCTGCTAGCAGGGCCCTGAAATACTGCCTTTCAAATCTCGCCTAGTTTTCTACACAATTTCTTTATCAAAAAAGAATGTTTTGTCACAAAATGAGTCATGGAAATAAGCAGCTGCTGAGAAGTTTACAATTGGAAAACATCAAAATCCACATTTAAATGACTAAAGAAATAATTAACAGGAAAGCAATTTATAAGAGGAAGGACAAAACTAAGGTTAAATGGAGACTCTACCTTTCAGCATCAAGAACGGGGAACTTGAAATGTTGTTTTCACTCATGGAATATAGAAAAGTGACTACATGTTACTAGCTCAAATCAGAAAACAGTTACAATCCTCATACAAAATAAAATATAGTAAAACAAAACAAAAAGCAAACCAAATAAAATTCCTCAGCCAATATAAGCTTTAGTGTTTCAGGAGTTTCAATATTCCTGGTTAATTGTAACAGACTCTACAAGTACAAACAAAATATCCAAACTACAACATCCTTTTCATTGAATAACAAAACTAATGTGAAAGGAACCTGTAAAACTTATTGCCAACCTAATCAAATGCAGCGCAGCTGCCACCGTTGCACGCACAGTGCAGAAGCTCCCAGGTGAGCCGACTTCCATCACAGTTACGTGGTCTGGTGCATCTCCGAGGGTTTGAACATGATCAAGGCTGCGCTTTCCCAGGGATAATGTTTAAGAAAACGCTAAGCATTTCTCCAAACAAGTGACGTGATGTGCATTGGGGTCATCGCTTTGTTTTAAAAATACAAACGAACTCACCAAAATAGCAGAGTTTGACTTTTGCACGGTCTATGGACAGGGAGTTCACGGCGGGAGGAGCTACAGTGTCCTGGCTGTTTCCCAGGACCGAGTGTAGTAGATGAACATTGGGCTAATCTTGCTTTGCCTGCAGCTGGTGAGGTAAGCGTCTCTATGCACACACCACACCACCACGTGTAATGGAACTGGGACTCGGCGGGAAGTCACTGCGTATTTTTGGTGAGCTCACTGCTCGGCGTGGGGCTCTCAGATCATGCTGGTGCTCGTGACTAAATCACACCCAAGGTGAAATTTCGCATCACATCCAGAGCTGCAGCATCAAAGCCACACATATCCAACATGCCCCTGTCATCTGGGTCTGCAACGGTGAAACCATTGGATGTCATTCCACAAACTATCAATTTAGCTGGAATATCCATTTTCTGTGGGGGGGAAAAAAAACAAATCAAAATACATCATTAAGGAATTAAGGAAAAGCAAAAAAAAAAAAAAAAAAAACCTGCCAAAATTAAAACATTAAAATTTATTTCTCTAATACACCTTTTATTATAAACCAGTTTTTTTTTGTTTTAGCCAATAATTTAGGGTCAGACTGAATTTTAGAAAAATGGAAAATCGAATTTCTACCTATTCTATATTTTGATTTGTCCTTCAGAGTAGATTTCTGAGCTGCCTAGGCACTTCGTAGCTCTGAGGTCTGTCAGGACAGTCAGGGAGGCCAGAATTTCCTTTCTTTTTTTTTTTTTTAAATCAGCAAATCAACTGCTGGGAAAATGTTTTGACTACAAGTAAATATAAAGAAGCTATTTCTTTGAGTTTATCAGTATATGGTACGTATAACATGTCCCATGAAACAACCTGTTTCTTCACAGATGCATTTAAGATTAAAATAACTGATTTGTTGAGGCTGTTCCAGACACCATCATGAACTCTAGGTGGTGAAGATTCAGCTCACGGCCTTTCACCCGGAAGGGCTTGTGTAACAGAGCGCCAGGCAGAGTGGGCTCAGAGTGTACCTACGAGGCCTCAGCAATTGAATTTTAACAGGTCCACATGATGCCAAGGCCACAGGTAGGAAGCCAAGCGCCAAGAATCATGGTCCTTCATCAACAAACTCCTTTCGACTTCCAGCCACTGCAGTGACATCTCAGTGCTCAGTATGCCCTGTTAGCAGGAGCTGCCATTGGGGAGCAAGCAGCTGGCCATGCGTGTCATTCAGAAAGCTCGAACGGAAGGCACTAGCTCGAACACAGGTGTGTATGCAAACCTCACACACAGATCTTAGCTTTGCTTTGAATTTCTGTAGTCATTCAGCAGAATTCACAAACACTTTCCCTGGGAACACAAGAAATTGCTTTTAAAAGATAAGGTAAGACATTTTCTTTTCCAACAATATGCTCTGCAAAGGATATTCCTTGTAATGTTTAATGCTGGAATTTATTAAAGTGCCAATAAATTATATGTGTAGGCAATGCTTTCTCTTATTTCAAGTATTGCTGCATGCATTTCTGATGCTAGTTTCCTACAAGTAGGGTGCTGGATGACCTGTAGTGATATTTTGAAAAACACAGTGAAAGAAAATGGGGCTGTGGCTAGGCGAGGAGCAGGGAGCTGGGTTTACCTGGCGATAGTCCCTCAGAGCCACAGCGGGACGGACGCCGCCAGCGCAGGCCTCGCTGCCCGTGAAGACGACGAAGACATCAGCGGCCGTGCCCGTCCTCTGCGCCCAGAGCATCGGGAGGGCGCAGTCCGTCCCTCCTGCGGGGATCTAGATCACAAACAGAACCGAGGACGTCTGCGATAACTAAGTCTTAAAAAAATCAGGACACAGGACTCTTCCCAAAGTCTAACTGCATTTTTTTATTTTGTGTTTTTCATGGGAAGAATCAAGATAAAACTAGACATGACATCAACACAACACAAGGTAAGTACCGTAGCAGACGCCGCACGGCCCCATCGGATGGGTTCTCACCTGATTCAGAGCTGAAACAACCTGAGGCAGGGTCATGTCTGCAGTCACCGCACAGGGCTGCATTCCGTGGGAAAACGCAACCACACAGGGATCTGGCTCTGTGCGGGCGGCAACCTGAAAAGTTCAGCAGTGGCAACTATCAGCAGACTTGTCGGGGAAACAGAACACCTTGAAGTTTGAGAAGAGACAAAGAGGAAGATCTTCCGTCCGGCGATTCACTCCCCAAGTGACCGCAAAGGCCAGAGTTGAGCCAATCCAAAGCCAGGAGCTTCTTCCGGGTCTCCCACACAGGTGCAGGGTCCCAAGGCTTTGGATCATCCTTGACTGCTTATCCAGGCCACAAGCAGGGAACTAGATGGGAAGTGGGCTGCTGGGATTAGAACTGGTGTCCATACAGGATCCCGGCGCGTTCAAGGCAAGGACTTTAGCCACTAGGCTACCGCACAGGGTCCTACAGCATAGTTCCAAAACAGTGATAAAAATTTAGAAATAAGGTGTTACAGTATTCTTTTAAAGATATGCTAGTATAGGCCTGGCATGGTAGCCTAGCAGCTGAAGTCCTCACCTTGACCGTGCTGGGATCCCATATGGGTGCCGGTTCTAATCCCAGCAGCCCTGCTTCCCATCCAACTGCCTGCTTGTGGCCTGGGAAAGCAGTAGAGGACAACCGAAAACCTTGGGACCCTGTGCCCACATGGAAGACCTGGAGGAAGCTCCTGGCTCCTGGCTTCAGATTGGCTCAGCTCCGGCCATTGCAGCTGCTTGGGGAGTGAAACATCGGACGGAAGATCTTCCTCTCTGTTTCTCCTCCTCTCTGTATACCTGCCTTTCCAATAAAACTAAATTAAAAAAAAAAAAAACTATACTGTAACAGTATAGTTTTATATACAGTAATATACTTGTCAAAGTACCTCCCACTAATTCTTAAACTGGTTTTACAATAATCATTTGCAGCAAATTTCATAATTGATCTTCAAAGTTCATAGCAAAATGTCTATCATGAAAAAAACCTACATGGATTTCAAAATTTTTCACCAAAATAAATTTACCTTTAATTTTATTTTCCTTCAATTTTCTTGAAGTAACTCACATATTCATTTCATTTCAAGCTGTACAAACTACAAAAGTCCCTAGGAGTTTGTCTGAGATTTGACTGTCTGGTCCTCAATGACAGGCTCGGGCTAGAACTAAAGTTTTATCACTCATATTAGCCGCTTACTATTTAATCTTAGAAAAATTAAAGTTTCTACGAATTATTGCTTAAACATGCTTTTACAATACACTTAAAATTTTGCTTTATAAACATTATCTTTGCATATAAAAAGTGCCAAAAAAGCCGAAAGACCAAAATAAGCGAACACATAATTCTTTATCATATCTAACTTTACAGTTCTGGCCCATGGTAAACACACTTAGGTTCTTGGATTTTTCTCACCATGCACATTGCTGCAGCCACTGTGCTTGCGCTGAGCGTGCTCCCCAGCACTCTTTGGTTCATAGAAGCACTAACATCCACAGCAAGCAGCAAACGCTTCCCAGTCGGCTCGACCGTCTACAGGGAGAACAAGTTAGAAGCAACCAGGAAGTGTAAGTAAATGATGTCTTGCGAATCACACTTACTTGCCTCAGATACACACTTCTTTTGTAGGTGCGTTAAAATTAGCAAGGAGCTCTCCAAGCCACATCCCCGGGGGCCAGGGACCACATTTACAGGCGGTAGCTTCATTTCCATGTCAGTATGCCAGCCCCCGAAGGGGAATTTCTACCAAACACATTCTGAGCTAAATGGTAACATCTCATTTCCACCTTCCCCTACCTCTTGGTACCTTCTATTCCATTTTCTGTCTTGATATTTTTGCTAATTCTAGATACTTCATCTAACAAATTCATGAAATACTTGTCCTTTTAATGTCTGGTGTATTTCACTTGATATGTTTCAAGGTTTATCTGTGTTATAATAAGCACATTTCATTACGTTTGGAGGCTGAATAATAATTTTACTATATGTCTATAATACATTTTATTCAGGTGTTGGACAGACACTTGATTGTAGCTGTGGACTATTGTGACGGATGTATGACATCAATGGACAAGGATTTGTTAAAGCAGTGATATTCAAGTCCTTTGGGAATGTTCTAGACCTGCTACATGTTACTTCTGAGCACCATTTTACACTGCTGAATTTTGTAAACTGCTTCCTCTTCAAGTAAGACGACCATGTGGACGCCACAATGGCCTGTGAGAGGGAGGCATTATCAACTCCAGCTTTCATGGAGAACTAGCCTGACAAGCCAGCAGTATTACTTGGTGCTGCTGTATAAGCCTTGTAGTTTACTGATGGGTTTCATTATCTATTAGGAACATTTTAAAAATCAGTACTTTTAATTTATAGCTCTGATGTAAATTTCCATTTTAAAAACTATCCAGTCAGATACACTTACCAATTGAGGTTAAAAAAGACTAACCACAAGCACCTCATAGAAATGCACATTTTTAAACTTAGCAAACTTTCAAACAGATTTATCAAAATGATGTGATAAAAATGTTACTGCCCAAAGGTAAGTGAAAAACACTGTCCATCAACTTTCAGTGTGGATTACAGAACCAGCTTCCCATGAACGGAGGAAAAAGAAATGACCAATGTAATCAAGAACTAAAATACGGTAAGGTGTATTAGCCACTAGACTAAGCCCTATGTCATCTGTCTTAAAATAAAAATCGCACCAATACCTTGAATGTTTTATAAAAAGCAGTGTCCAAAGCTTTCAAGATTTCTTCATCAGGGTGCCACTTCAGCTTTCCTCTGAGAGCGTGACCTGTTTTGTAAGTTTCTAGAGCAATTAAAACATGAAGTGGATGTATACAAGCCTGGAAGCAAGACAAAGACAGAAAGCGCAAAATTCAAGCAAAAAATGGTCATTCCGTGTCTCAGACTGACGCTACTACATTTCATAAAGAAGCAAGTGCAATGAGGGAGTCTCCTTCGCTTTACTAGTCAAGGGCAGTGTGGTCCACAGCTCAGCACAGCTTCGCACACCGATCCCATCTCCCAGCTCGGAGCTGACCGAGGCCGTGGGCGGTGCTCACCTTCTGTAGAAGCTGTTCATCGCACAGTTTTTCACACACTAGTGATACTTCTGAGCTGCCTGGTCCAAGCACCGAGTTCGCAGTCATCTTTCCTAGGTTTCTCAGCAATGTGGTCAGAGGCATTTCTTGTAGCAAAGCCTTCCACACCTTTCACAGTAACAGAAACAAAACATTTAGGGGAACATGATTCATTGTAACAGAGCTACACCGAACCTGCATAACACATTCACTTAAGTCTTTTCACTTGGAATTCAGAATATTTTCAGAATTAAACTTTTCTTAATTGATAAAAAATTTATCAAACAAGCTAAATTGATTCTTTAGTAGACTAAAGAAGTAAAGTATATTTTACAATGAAAATGCACGGAATTTTTTTTTAATTAGGACAACGTATGTTCTGGAGTATATGTAATACGAAATCGATACTGACAACTAACTTTGGGTGTCATTGCAGGTTTTCAAAGCAGACATTAATTTTAGGGTTTATCGGTGTCACGCGCCCCTCCCCCGCCCCGAGCGTGGCTGACTCACCTCTCTGGACTTGAGGTGATCCGTCAGCAGGTGCTCCCGACCCAACCTGTGCTCCTCTATCAGATGGCTGACTTCCAGCTCGTCTCTCGTGCGCTTCACCTTCTCCACCGCCTCCAGGTACTTCAACAGCTTCTCCGATTCCACAGAGAGCGCTTTTTCTTTGTATGATTCACGGACTTCTTTCCAGCCCTTTGTAATGTATTTGGTCACAATGGCAAGTCCTTTAACAAGACACATAATTGAAAAGGCAAGTAGAAGTACTACGTCAAACACATTGTATTTTCTGAGAGTGTATAAGGCAGGCTTAACTAGACAGAAGTTTTACGCAGGCTCGAACTCCCTGACACGGGGACTCTGTCTTCCGTGTTAGCATGAATACATTATCCTTTGGTTATCCCATTACTGTACTGTTTAAACATGGCACTTTGCTGAAAACTGAAGCTCTTAATATTCTGAGTAATAAAATCAAAGAGGTTTCTTTTTGGAGACACCAACATTGTAAACTGTGGCTGAGTGTTTACGTCAGGTCCACAAATCTGAGAACCACTGACAATAAAACCTCTCTCAATGAATATCATATTGACTCGGGCCTCTTTCCTGCTGAATAAATTTGTATTTATGAATAAAGGAGATGGCAGGTCCAGACAAGCTGATAGGTCTTTTCAAAGCACTCTTTAGACGTCTTCTCATGCCTTTCCCAAGCGGAAGTGGAAGAACCCAGGGACAATGCATCCCGTATGGATGCCGGCATCCGCAGGCCACGGCTTCAGGAGTTTTACCATGACGCCAGTCCCGTGGCCAAATATTTTTAAAAAGGGAACATAATCATTTTTTTTTTTTTTTTTTACGGTACAGTTCTTTCAACAGTAGAAAGAGCTTTGGATTGAGGGTAGGAAAATCTGGGTTCTACTCTTTCAATAAGTGGTAGTCCTTTTAGGTCCACTTTTTAAAAAGGTAGAGATGAAATCCTAATCTCCAAATGCTCACGATGGCAAGCAGGGAAAATACAGACGTGAAACTGATCATGTGATAGAATAGTCTCAGGACTGTGCAAAACTAAAGACAGCATCTACTGTCAAGCACTTCGGTCAAGTCTTCACTCAGCGTCACTAAAAACATGACGCAAGGAGCTGGAATACAGATTTTTATGTTGTCTTCTGATTTCTCTTTTAGGATTTATCTTTATTGGAAAGTCAGATTTACAGAAAGATCTCTCACTCGCCACTTCACTCCCCGAGTGGCCACAACTGCTAGAATCAAGCTGAACCAAAGCCAGTTTTTATGTCAGTCGATTTCCAAATGTCCACAATTCTTACAGTTTATCAAACTAGCTAAGGGGTTTACAATGTCAAGATGAGGTTTCTCATGGTGTAAGATGTCATTTCTCTCTCTTTTTATAAATATTCATTGATTTTTATTGGAAAGGCTGGTTTACAGACAGAGGAGAAACAGGAAGACCTTTCATCTGCTGGTTCATGCCCCAAATGGCTGTAATGGCCAAAGCTGAGCTGTTCTGAAGCCAGGAGCCAGGAACTTCTTCTGGGTCTCCCACGCAGGTGTAGGATCCCAAGGTTCTGAGCCATTCACTACTACTTTCTCAGACCACAAGTAGAGAGCTTGATGCGAAACGGAGCAGCCAGGATATGAACCAGCATTCATACGGGATCCTAGTGCATGCAAGGCAAGGACCATAGCCATTAGATTACCATGTGCCAGGCCCGTTGTCTTCTGATTTTTAAAAATATTGACAAATAATCCATTCCATATCCCATCTCCATCACTGTGTAGGTCAAAATGAAACACAGCTCTGAGCCAGACTGAGCCTATCTGCTTTGTGAACTCTAAAGTTAGTGCCCATATACAGGAACTTCTAACATACTGTGACTGCTGCTACTTTCCAGATTTTGGCATAAAAATGTCCTTAAGCTCTGGGCTGCTTCAATTCCCATCCTGTGTCCTGGTAATGTGCCTGGGAAGGCAGCAGAATATGGGCCAAGTGAGTGGGCCCGGCCACGTACATGGGAGAAACTCCTCCTGGTCCAGCCTCAGCAGTCATGTCCATTGGGGGAATGAATTAGTAGATACAATATCAAACTTTCTCTATTTACTTCTTCAAATGAATAAATAAGTTTTATAAAATCCTAACTTCTCCATGCCAAAAACACTTCCAACCACGTCATAAAAAAAGAACTCCATACGACAAAGAAAAAATTGGGTGGGTGGGTGGGGGGCTTCTGCCAGGGTTGGGGAAATGGGCCTGGGGACTTGCGCACACTTTTGGGTCTCAGGTGGGTAGGGTCCTAGACCACCGGGTTGGTATGGGCCAGAGGACTCCTACACACTTGGGTACCAGGTGGGTAGAGGCATAGGGAACCAGGCTGGTACGTTGGCATGGTGTGTTGGTGGACTGGGTCTGAGGACCTGTGCATGCTTTTGAGTCCCATGTGGATTGGTAGAGTTCCAGGTTAGCATGCTACCGTGCCATAGCACTGGGCTGGGGAACCCATGTACTTGTGGGCACAGGGCTACAGACTGGTTAGGAGAGGAGGTACAGGAATGTGTGTGGGGGGGTACAGTTGAGGGACTGTGTCATAGCTGAGAAATGACTTCTGGGGACTTCCACTGAGCAGGCCACTGTATCTGCAGGCAAGTGAGGGCGATTTGGAAGGCAAGTGTATCTGCAGGCAAGTGAGGGCTGGAGGACCTTTCGGGTCAGACCTATGCGCCCACCCACACGGGAGAACTGAGCTCGGTCAGTTAGCATTAACTGACTGCCGCCCATTGCTCACCAGAGTACACAAAACCAGGGCTGGGGGACCTGCCTGGCAGGGCTAGACCACAGTATCCGCTAGTGAATTTCCAAGCAGAGGATGGGTCATGTTTGGCTGGACCATGACACTAAGCGACACATGCCTGTGTCAGTACTGGGCCTTCTCGGCTGCTGTAGCCTGTGCGGTGGATGGCATGCAGCTGGACACGGGGGACATGAAAGCTCACTGCGGCCTGCAGAGGACACACAGTACCACAGCAGAGGAAAGAGGGCAGAAGAAACCGGACAGCTCTCCCTGCCAAGCTTTGACAGCAAGTATCTGGGTGAGTGGAGACTCTAAGGTGGACCATGTCATCCGGTGGACCTTGGAAGGATTTACTCAAGCCTGGAGCAACAAAATTAACACCATCTCAGAACTATCAAAACCGCTTAAGCAATACTGTTAGAACACGCTCCACACCGGGGACCTTAGGATGACACTGAGCGGCTGTCTCCCGTCCCTGGGTACTGATGCGGCTAGGCGGCTGGAGTAGTCCCCTCCTCTTCTTCTTCTCCCTCCCCCATCACAGAGGAAGAAAAAACACCAGAAGCACCTGTCCCATGTACTTCCCCTCCCACCTTGACCTGCCCATGCTAATCAAAAGTCTACATAAACACACATTCTTCTTGACTATGCAAACATTATCAAAAACAAATTTATTAAATTAAAAAGTTTTAAAAACGGTACATAATATATATGAAACGACTCATCTCTCTGTGTCCAGTTTTTAGCAGCGTCCTCCATAACAGGTGCTACATGAATACTAAATGGATGCTTACCATGATCAGTATTACAGATAGGATGTTTAGTCACAGGAACTCCTGAGGCTTGCTTTCCTTTCCTCTTCACAAAAACTCAGAAAGCTTGTTACAAAGTAACAGGCATATCTTGGGCCCAGCCCTGTAGCCTAGCTGCTAAAGTCCTCACCTTATATGCACTGGGATCCCATATGGTCGCCGGTTCTAATCCCGGCAATCTGCTTCCCATCCAGCTCCCTGCCTGTGGCCTGTGAAAGCAGTCGAGGATGGCCTAAAGCCTTGGGACCTTGCACCCGCGTGGGAGACCTGGAAGAGACTCCTGGCTCCTGGATTGGCTCAGCTCTGGCCGTTGCAGCCGTTTGGGGAGTGAATTAGAGGATGGAAGATTGTTCTGTCTTTCCTCTTCCTCCCTGTATGAATGACTTACAATACAAACAACAACAAAACCACAAAGTAATAGGCATATCTAAACTTTCAGTGGTTTTCTTTAGTTCAGTGTTCATACTACTCCAGCCCGGGAGTTTCTATTTCTCTCCAGAGTTGGACCATTAATTATGATAGATCTGCTGAGGCTGTCATAGGTTGTCTTCCCACAGTAGAGACAACCACCCCCAGCTTCCATGTCCCCCGGCTGAGTGTTCGGAAGCAATTCACCTGCTGAACTGGTAAGTTCAGCACTGTCTCAGGTAGCCCTTAGGTCGGCATGGAACACAGTCCTGGGAGACGGGGAGGGAAAGGCGGGACGAGTGGGGCAGCCTGGCTACCGCCACCTGCTGGCCGAGAGCTGTTCTGCTAACAACCTTCATCTTCACGCTGCTTTCACAACCCATCATCACTTGAGTGTGCATCCGGTCTGCCGTGATAACTTTTCAAGATTGAGAATATTAACCTGCAGATCTGTGATGAGATTCTTGACCGTTCGGGTCTGGACTGCCTGTTGTCCACGTCCTGCATGCATGTCCTGCCTGTACTCAGTCTGATCCTGATCATGTCTGAATGGATCTATCCGTGCACAATTTAACAATAAATGTGTATTTCTAAAAATGTTACAAAATGACGCCAAAGCAAACATTTCCACGTGCGGGGCGCTCCGTCCCCACCCTCCCCCGAAGCCTTACCTTCACTGGAAGGCTTGAGGTGCGACAGCCGTAACAGATCCTTGTGAGCCCAGCCATTTCTCTGTTTGTATTTCGTAACTGCCAGAGCCAGGGCCATGCCGCCTTTCTCGTTGTACCAGTCAGCGACTGCCTTCCGCAGAGCGCGCCCCCACATGCCACACTTCATGCTCTCCCTCAGATCTTTCTTAAACTGAATGAAAGTAAAGAGATGGCTGGGGACGCGGCAAACTTCAGAAACGGCTTTGAAGGCCGCCTGCTTCGTGCCCGCGTCGGAACACTGGGAGCAC